CTTCCTTCCTTCCTTCCTTCCTTCCTTCCTTCCTTCCTTCCTTCCTTTCGTTTCTTTCCCTTTCTTTCTTTCTTTTTTTCTTTCTTTCTTTCTTTCTTTCTTTCTTTCTTTCTTTCTTTCTTTCTTTCTTTCTTTCTTTCTTTCTTTCTTTCTTTCTTTCAGAGAGAGTGCATGCATGCAAAAAGTGAAGGAGAGGCAGAGGGAAAGGGAGAGAGAAAATCCCATGTGAGGCTTGAACTCACAACCCTGAGATCATGACCTGAGCTGAAATCAAGAGTCGGATGCTTAACTGACTGACCCACTCAGGCCCCTTCCAGTGCTTATCTTTTTAACATATGTGACTGTGTATCATCTGTATAAATATTTTATGTGTTTATGGGTGTGTGCTTACAATAAGGATAATTGAAAGATACATGTTATCTGCTTTGGTATTGTTTATAATTACTGAAGAATTAACATTAAGAGACAAACTGGGTGTTTTGTTTTTTTTTTTCCGGACTGGCTCTGTACCAAAAATGTAAATTATGGTATTTTCATGAACTATTTACTTGAATTCCTCCAGTCTCTTGTGGCTAAGTAACAATTTTTGATACTAACAAATACATAGCATTACCTTTGTTGTAAATTTATTACCTAATTAAAAAAAACTTTATCCATTTATGCTCAGTCTTCATACATCCTTCTCATGTAGTGGTTGCTGCCTCACATTTACAAAATAATTTAGAAATGAAACAGCCTAGTGGAGACATTAGAGGTTCTTGTCAAATCATAGTTTCTGTATCAAGGAGTTTAATACTTAGTGGGAAATACAGGTATATAAACAATTAAAAATAAAGTCAAAATATAAGTGTGTAAGATTGCTCATTATTACACTTGAGCTACAGTGTCATTATTTCACCCAGTCATTTATTTTTTATTCACTAATTCAACATATACTTATTAAGCATTTAGTCCAGTTGTAAGAGAAGGAAGAACAGTTTAGAGAATCTGTTACAAACTGTCATTGTTCTTCTAGCCTGTCTTTGTTCACTGAGAGTTTAAATGCCTCTGCTGTTCATAACAGTTAAAGGAAGTCATTTTATTTATCTTAAAAGCTCTTACTCAGAAGGCTGGAGAAGAGGGAGAGAAAGACACAACCATGAGGCATTTGTCCTAGAGCTCTTCTCCCAATCTCACTTTTAATAGTGATCCTAAAAGGGGACCTTTCAGGTTACAAAGGGATTTTAAATCCCTACTCTCTGTAAAATTTAGAGGAAAGAGTTGCTCTCAGTATCTGTCTCTCATCAGGAGGATCTTTACAATTGTACGTGTCTTCTGTTGTAGTGAACTAAGCACCCTTCTTGTGTGAGGCTGGAAGGGGGAAGCAGTGGGCCAGATACAACTATATCAGGGTTTCTCAGACTCGGCACTACTGACATTTGGGACCAGAAAACTCTTTGTTGTGGGGGGCTTGCCAGTGCGTTGCAGGATATTCAGCAACATCCCTGGCTTCTACCTGCTAGAAGCCAATAGCCTCTCGACAACTGTGACAACCAAGTTATCTAGGTATTGCCAGATGCCCCCTGGGGGGGCAAAATTACCCTGCCTTAGGACCACTGATCTAGATGCAGGGTCAAATCAACCGTAACCTTTCTCCTATGCATACTTTTCTACTTATAAAGCTGTTGCACATGGGTTATATGGAATTGCCCAAGTATATTATTTTGCAAACATACGTACTTTTCTCCATTATTAGTAGATACTTATTTTCAAGATGATGATCACAGTGACTGTATAATTTCTTCTCGGATCTCTGAGCTAGCGTACTGGATATTAAAGAGAAAGAAAAGAGAAGAAAAAAGATGTCTTCAACCTTCCATATTCTGATAACTGCATATCTAAAAGTTAACATAGGAGCTCTGTTGGCACTCGGGTATGAACTGTTGCAGAAGAGAAAGTGAAAGTGGAAACAGGCTCAGCCCAGGCAGCGAGCCTGCAGGGCCGCTGTCGTGTGTGAGCAGTGGGAGCATCAGTGGAATTGTCCTCACCCTCCCTTCCAGTGGAGGAAGGTATAACAGGGGGTGCCCCACACTCACCACAGAACCCATTCCTGCAGGAATTCAGAGGGAGGGCATTTAGATTTACTGGGAAGAAATGCTATTTCTGAGGTCTACATATGCTACATCCTTACTAAGTACATTTGTTCAGTTTTAACAGTGAAATATTACGGGCTCTGCCTTTTCCTCACCTCCAGCCTCCTACTGTTCCCTCTCTCCCTCTCTTCGAGCACACCACTCCCGTGAGAGGCCTCTGAAAGGCTCCCCGTGCTGTCACACGCAGGCAACAGCAAAGGGTCGGGGCCACCCTGAAAGCTGCTGGGGTTCACTGTGACCCCTAACAACACTTTATAGAGTGCGTGAACGTAAAACCCACTTGGCTTACTCTCTTGCTAATTGTCCAGATATGATACTCAAGTTAAATCATTTTAAAACAACTCTAGGGGTCTACCCACTCCTTTTTCTACTGGAATTTTGTCTCATGCCTAAAACCCTATTTCTGATAAGCTGGGTGTAAGCCAGGCTTAGACCCACTCTTGCCATGTGGAGATTATTACTAGAACTCAGGCTATGAGCTACGGGACCATCTGGTGCTCTGCATGCTTCTTTCAAGTCAGAATCCTGTTCTGATTTCTAGAGCCTTGCTGTGTAAGTCTTCACAGTCTTTTTATTTTTTTTTTGAGATTTTATTTATTTATTTGACAGAAAGAGGGAGAGAGAGAGCACAAGCAGGCAGAGGGAGAGGGAGAAGCAGGCTCCCTCCTGAGCAGAGAGCCCGATGCAGCACCTTGATCCCAGGACCCTGAGATCATGACCTGAGCCGAAGGCAGACGCTTAACAGACTGAGCCACCCAGGCACCCCTTCACATTCTTTTAAAAAAAAATTGTTTTAATTACAAAATACTTCAAGCATATTTCAAGAACATTTAAAAATTGGTATAACAGACACCAGGTACACCATCTGGATTTA